TGGGGTGGCTGACACGAGTCAATCCACCATTTTGGGAGGCCGAAGGGAGAGGATGGCTGGAAGCCGGGAGTTCGAGACCGGCCTGGGCCACATAGCCAGACCCCCATCTCAATAATAATAATAATAATAATAACAATAACATCAATAACGATAATAACAAAATATAAATGGGCCGGTGGTGGTGGTGGTGGCCGGGATGGGCTCACCCCGGTCATCCCAGCCTTTTGGGAGGCCGAGGCGGGAGGCTCGTCCGAGGCCGGGAGTTCGAGACCCGCCGGGCCCACATAGCCAGACCCCCTCTGTACCAAAAACGTTTCGCGTTCCGGTCGGGCGCGGAGGTTCTCGGGCCTTGAAAATCTCTCTTCCTTCTCCTCCGGGGCCCGGTTCTAGAAGAATTCGGGCCGGGGAGCGTCTGGCCTGGGCTCCCTGACCTCTCAGGACCGGGCCGTGTGCTCCGTCGGCGGCTGGTCTGACCCCTCGGCCGCCTCTCGAGGAAGAAACCGTCTCCTGGTCCTTCCTGCCTCTCGCCAAGATAACACACACCTGGGTCAAAATAACACACGCTGGGGTCAAAATAACACACACGAGGGTCAAAGTAACACATGTGAGGGTCAAAATAACACACACTCGGGTGAAAATAACATGCTTGGGTCAGAATGACACACATTAGAGTCAAAGTAACACACACGAGGGTCAAAATGACACACATTGGGGTCAAAGTAACACACGCTGGGTCAAAGTAACACACACGAGGGTCAAAATGACACACATTGGGGTCAAAGTAACACACACGGGGTCAAAGTAACACACACGAGGGTCAAAATGACACACATTGGGGTCAAAGTAACACACACTGGGTCAAAGTAACACACACGAGGGTCAAAATGACACACATTGGGGTCAAACTAACACGCAGTTAGGTCAAAATAACACACACTCGGGTCAAAATAACACATGTGAGGCTCAAAATAACACACGCTTGGGTCAAAATAACACGCGTTGGGGTCAAAATAACACGCGTTTAGGTCAAAATCACACACGCTAGGGTCAAAGGAACACGTTACAGCCAAATAACACACGCTAGGGTCTAAACGCACACATAGGTCACAATAACACACGGGGTCAAAATAACATGCATTCAGGTCAAAATAACACACACTAGGGTCCAAGTAACACGTTAGGGTCAAATAACACCCCTGGCTCAAAATAACACATGTGAGGGTCACAATAACACACACTCGGGTGAAAATAACATACACTGGGGTCTTGCTATGTGGCCCCGTCTGAAGGGCAGAGAAAGATTTCTAGGTTTTTACTTATTATTATTATTATTATTATTGAGTTGTGGTCAAAATAACCCACACAAGGGTCAAAATAACACACACAAGAGTCAAAATAACCCACATATGAGGGTCAAAATAACACACATTAGGGTCAAAGTAACACACACTGGGTCAAAGTAACACACACAAGGGTCAAAATGACACCCGTTGGGGTCAAAATAACACGGATTTAGGTCAAAATAACACACACTAGGGTCAAAGTAACACATGTTAGGGTCAAATAACAGCCCTGGCTCAAAATAACACATGTGAGGGTCAAAATAACACACATTAGGGTCAAAATAACACACGTTAGGGTCAAAATAACACGTTAGGGTCTAAATAACACACACAAGTGTCAAAATAACAGACACGACGGTCAAAGTAACACCATGATCGAAATAACACACAATAGGGCTAAAATAACACACCCAAGGGTTAGAATAACACACCAGGGTCACACTAGGGTCAAAATAACACAGGGGGTCACAGTAACACACACTAGGGTGAAAATAACACATGCTTGGGTCAAAATAACACACGTTAGGGTCAAAATGGCGAACATTAGAGTCAAAAGAGCACATATGAGGGTCAAAATAACACACACTAGGGTCAAAATAACACAGGCTTGGGTCAAAACAACAAATCCAAGGGTCAAAATAACACATGCCAGGGTCAAAAAAATCAAACATTAGAGTCAAACTAGCACATACTAGGGTCAAAATAACACACATGAGAGTCAAAATAACACACACAAGGCTCAAAATAATGCATGTAAGCGTCAAAATAACACACGCAAGAATCGAAATAACACAAGTTAGGGTCAAAGTCACACACACTAGTTTCAAAATAACACAGGTTTGGGTTAAAAAACACACGCAAGGGTCAAAATAACCCACACAAGAGTCAAAATAACCCACACAAGGGTCAAAATAACCCACACAGGGGTCAAAATAACACACACAGGGGTCAAAATAACCCACACAAGGGTCAAAATTACCCACACAAGGGTCAAAATAACCCACACAAGGGTCAAAATAACCCACACAAGGGTCAAAATAACCCACACAAGGGTCAAAATAACCCACACAAGGGTCAAAATAACACACACAGGGGTCAAAATAACCCACACGAGGGTCAAAATAACGCACACGAGGGTCAAAATAACCCACACGAGGGTCAAAATAACACACACAGGGGTCAAAATAACCCACACAGGGGTCAAAATAACCCACACAAGAGTCAAAATAACACACACCACGGTCAAAATCACCCACACGGGGGCCGAAATTTCACACACCGGGTTCAAATCACCCCAGGATCGAAATCCCCCCCAGGAGCGTCCACATCCCACCCCTCCCCCCATCCATCCACTCAGAGAAAAGCAAAAGCCACAGGTGGGGCGAGACGTGCGGCCCTCGCCGGGTTGTGTTGGCGGGTTGTGCATTTCCGCCCTGCCTCTGGATCTCGGCGTTTTATCTGATTTTCTCAACACCTGCTCTGTTCGTCCTCGCGCAGGAAACCATTTCTGTTTATGTCTTTTTTTTTTTTGAACTGGGGTCTTGCTGTGCGGGCCAGGCTCGTCTGGAACTCCCGGCCTCAAGCTATCCGCCCACCTGTCCGTATCAGCCTCGCGGTTTCACTCAGGGGAGGGTCAAAATAACACAAACCAGAGTAACGTCACGCACCTTGGTCAACATCACACACGTCAGGGTCGAAATAATACAGGCTAGGATCAAAATTACACACATTAGGGTCCAAATAACACATACAAGGGTCAAAATAACACACGCGGTCAAAATAATGCCCCCTGGGTCAAAATGACACACACTGGCGGCAAAGTAACACATATTAGGGCAGAATAACACACGCTAGGGTCAAAACACACACACGCAGGTCAAAATAACACACGTTAGGTCAAAATAACACACACAAGGGTCTAAATAACACACACAAGCGTCAAAATAACACACGTAAGCGTCAAAATAACACACAAAAGAGTCAAAATAACCCACACAAGGGTCAAAATAACACACACAAGAGTCAAAATAACACATACAAGGGTCAAAATAACAGATGCAAGGGTCAAAATAACACACACAACGGTCAAAATAACACACGTAAAGGATCAACATAACACACCCAAGGGTTAAATAACACATACAAGGGTCAAAATAACACACGCTGGGACAAAAATAACACACGAAAGAGTCAAAATAACACACACAAGGGTCAAAACAACACACAAAAGAATCAAAATAACACACGAGGGTCAAAATAACACACACATGTGTCAAAATAATACAGAAAAGAGTCAAAATAACACACACAAGGGTCAAAATAACACACGCAAGGGTCAAAATAACACACGCAAGTGTCAAAATAACACACGCCGGGTCAAAATAACACACACAAGGGTCAAAAAAATACACAAAAGAGTCAAAATAACACACACAAGGGTCAAAATAACACACGCCAGGGTCAAAATAACACACGCTGGGTCAAAATAACACACACAAGGGTAAAAAAAAAACCCACAAAAGAGTCCAAATTACACACACAAGGGTCAAAATAACACACAAAAGAGTCAAAATAACACACACGGTCAAAATAATGCCCCCTGGGTCAAAATGACACAGAGGAGACAGACAGAGAGAGGCAGACAGAGAGACAGAGAGAGAAAGAGACAGAGAGACAGAGACACAGAGACAGAGAGAGACAGAGAGAGAGAGGCAGATATAGAGAGACAGAGAGAGAAAGAGACAGAGAGAGGCAGAGACAGAGAGACAGAGAGAGACAGAGAGAAAGAGACAGACAGAGACAGAGAGAGACAGGAGAGAGAGAGACAGAGAGAAAAAGAGACAGAGACAGAAGAGACAGACAAAGAGACAGACAGAGAGAGGCAGACAGAGAGACAGAGACAGAGAGACAGAGAGAGACAGGGGAGAGAGAGACAGAGAGACGAAGACAGAGAGACAGAAAAGTGTGAAAATAACACACACAAGGGCCAAAATAACACACGCTGGGTCAAAATAACAGATGCAAGGGTCAAAATAACACACACAATGGTGAAAATAACACACGTAAAGGGTCAAAGTAATACAGAAAAGAGTCAAAATAACACACATAAGGATCAAAATAGCACAGACTAGGGTCACAGTAACACACACTAGGGCCAAAATGACACTGGGGCAAAAATAACACACACAAGGGTCAAGATAATATACACAAGGGTCAAAATAACACACACAAGCGTCAAAACAACACACAAAAGAGTCAGAACAACACACAGTGGGTCAAAATAACACACGTGAGTGTCAAAATAATACAGAAAAGAATCAAAACAACACACACAAGTGTCAACATAACACACAAAAGGGTCAAAGGAACGCACGTAAGTGTCAAAAGTAACACACCAAAGAGTCCAAACAACACACACAAGGGACAAAATAACCCACGCTGGGCCAAAATAACACATGCAAGTGTCAAAATAAGACAGAAAAGAGAGAAAATAACACAGACAAGGGTCAAAATAACAGATGTAAGTGTCAAAACAACACACAAAAGAGTCAAAATAACACACACAAGGGCCAAAATAACACACGCTGGGTCAAAATAACAGATGCAAGAGTCAACATAACACACACAATGGTCAAAATAACACACGTAAGTGTCAAAATAATACAGAAAAGAATCAAAACAACACACACAAGTGTCAAAATAACACACACAAGGGTCAAAAATAACACACACAAGCGTCACAACAACACACAAAACAGTCAAAACAACACACACACTGGGTCAAAATAACACACAAAAGGGTCAAAGGAACACATGTGTCAAAAATAACACACCAAAGAGTCCAAACAACACACACAAGGGACAAAATAACCCACGCTGGGCCAAAATAACACACGCCAGCGTCAACATAAGACAGAAAAGAGTCAACATAACACACACCAGGGTCCAAATCACTCACGTGAGGGTCCAATAAGCCCCCCGGGGTCGATGTCAGGTCAACCATGGTGGGAGACTCTCTCCGTTCTGGGGTCGGGCACGTGACTCAGGTGGACGCTTTTCAGCATCCTGTCGGGTCTGAGGTCCAGGTGGAGGCTTTTGACTATCGTGTTGGGTCTGAGATCCAGGTGACGCTTTTCCCTATGGTGGAGGGTCTGAGATCCAGGTAGACACGTTTCTTGATCGTGTCAGGTCTGAGATCCAGGTAGACGCTTTTCACTATGGTGGAGGGTCTGAGATCCAGGTAGACAGGTTTCTTGATCGTGTAAGGTCTCAGATCCAGGTAGATGCTTTTTATTATGGTGGAGGGTCTGAGATCCAGGTAGACACGTTTCATGATCCTGTAAGGTCTGAGATCCAGGTAGACTTTTTTTTTTAATCATGGAGGGCCTGAGATTCACGTAGACCCTTTTCGTGATCGCGGAGGGTACGTGATCCAGGTAGACGCTTTTTTAATCAGGTAAGGTCTGAGATCCAGGTAGACGCTTTTCACTATGGTGTAGGGTCTGAGATCCAGGTGGACACGTTTCTTGATCGTGTAAGGTCTCAGATCCAGGTAGATGCTTTTTATTATGGTGGAGGGTCTGAGATCCAGGTAGACACGTTTCATGATCCTGTAAGGTCTGAGATCCAGGTAGACATTCTTTTAATCATGGAGGGCCTGAGATTCATGTACACCCTTTTCGTGAACGCGGAGGGTACGTGATCCAGGTAGACGCTTTTTTAATCAGGTAAGGTCTGAGATCCAGGTAGATGCTTTTTATTATGGTGGAGGGTCTGAGATCCAGGTAGACACGTTTCTTGATCGTGTAAGGTCTCAGATCCAGGTAGATGCTTTTTATTATGGTGTAGGGTCTGAGATCCAGGTAGATGCTTTTTATTATGGTGGAGGGTCTGAGATCCAGGTAGACACGTTTCATCATCCTGTAAGGTCTGAGATCCAGGTAGACTTTTTTTTTTAATCATGGAGGGCCTGAGATTCACGTAGACCCTTTTCGTGATGGCAGAGGGTACGTGATCTGGGTAGACGCTTTTTTATCAGGTAAGGTCTGAGATCCAGGTAGATGCTTTTCATTATGGTGTAGGGTCTGAGATCCAGGTGGACGCGTTGCATTATCCTGTAAGGTCTGAGACCCAGGTAGATGCTTTTTATTATGGTGGAGGGTCTGAGATTCAGGTGGACACGTTTCTTGATCGTGTAAGGTCTCAGATCCAGGTAGATGCTTTTCATTATGGCGTAGGGTCTGAGATCCAGGTAGACACGTTTCATGATCCTGTAAGGTCTGAGATCCAGGTAGACTTTTTTTTTTAATCATGGAGGGCCTGAGATTCACGTAGACCCTTTTCGTGATCGTGGGGGGTACGTGATCCGGGTAGACGCTTTTTTATCAGGTAAGGTCTGAGATCCAGGTAGACGCTTTTCACTATGGGATAGGGTCTGAGATCCAGATAGACGCGTTTCAGGATCATGCAGGGTCTGAGTTTCAGAGACAGAGAGAGACAGAGAGAGTCAGAGGTAGAGAGAGACCACAGAGAGGAAGAGAGACAGAGACACAGAGAGACAGAGAGACAGAGACAGAGGAAGACAGAGATAGGGAGAGACAGAGAGAGAGATGGAGAGAGATCTAGGGAGACCGAGAGAGACACAGAGACACAGAGAGAGACCCCAGAGAGAAAGAGACACAGTGACAGAGAGAGACACAGAGAGACAGAGAGAGAGAGACAGAGGAAGACAGAGATAGGGAGAGACAGAGAGAGAGATGGAGAGAGATCTAGGGAGACCGAGAGAGACACAGAGACACAGAGAGAGACCACAGAAAGAGACATAGTGACAGAGAGAGACAGAGACAGACAGACAGAGATAGGGAGAGACAGAGAGAGAGAGATGGAGAGAGATCTAGGGAGACCGAGAGAGACACAGAGTCAAAGAGAGAGACCACAGAGAGACAGAGACAGAGAGAGATGGAGACAGAGACAGAGAGATAGAGACAGAGGAAGACAGACAGAGATAGGGAGAGACAGAGAGAGATATGGAGAGAGATCTAGGGAGACCGAGAGAGACACAGAGACAAAGAGAGAGACCACAGAGAGAAAGAGACACAGTGACAGAGAGAGACAGACAGACAGAGATAGGGAGAGACAGAGAGAGAGATGGAGAGAGACCTAGGGAGACTGAGAGAGACACAGAGACACAGAGAGAGACCATAGAGAGAAAGAGACACAGAGATACAGAGACAGAGAGAGACAGACAGACAGAGATAGGGAGAGACAGAGAGAGAGATGGAGAGAGATCTAGGGAGACCAAGAGAGACACAGAGACACAGAGAGAGACCCCAGAGAGACAGAGACAGAGAGACGGAGACAGAGAGACAGAGGAAGACAGACAGAGATAGGGAGAGACAGAGAGAGAGATGGAGAGAGACCTAGGGACACAGAGACAGAGACACAGAGAGAGACCACAGAGAGAAAGAGACACAGTGACAGAGAGAGAGAGACAGAGAGAGAGAGAGACAGAGGAAGACAGAGATAGGGAGAGACAGAGAGAGAGATGGAGAGAGATCTAGGGAGACCGACAGAGACACAGAGACAAAGAGAGAGACCCCAGAGAGACAGAGACAGAGAGAGACAGAGAGAGATGGAGACAGAGACAGAGAGACAGAGAGACAGAGACAGAGGAAGACAGGCAGAGATAGGGAGAGACAGAGAGAGAGATGGAGAGAGATCTAGAGAGACCGAGAGAGAGACAGAGACACAGAGAGAGACCACAGAGAGAAAGAGAGACAGAGACAGAAACAGGAAGAGACAGAAAGCGGCCAAAGTTGGAGCTTCACGGCCTGAGGAATTTTTTTTTAATTTGGGTGGGACTTGGGGGGCATCTCTGCACCCTCAGAAACCCAGGCCTTCCCCGGAGCCTGGCGTCCTGTCCCGGCTTCATCTATTAGAACTTTTTTTTTTGGTCATTTTTTTTTTTTGGAGTTGGGGTCTTGCTGGATGGGCCTTTATTCTATGTATTTATTTGTGCATTTATTTATTTTCTGAGTTGGGGCTCTCGGCGTGTGGGCCTTGATTTTATTTTATTGGGACTTGGGGTCTCACTGGGTGGGTCCTCATTTTATGTATTTACTTAGCTAGTTAGTTATTTAGTTATTTATGTTGAGCTGGGGTCTCACTGTGTGGGCCAGTCTGGAGGAAGCCTCAGCGCTATGGATCACCCGACTATTTTTTCTTTTTCTTTTTTGTTTTTTTTTTTTGAGTTGGGGTCTCACTGTGTGGGCCAGTCTGGAGGAAGCCCAAGCGCTATGGATCACCTGACTTTTTTTCTTTTTTTTTTTTTCTCTTTGAGTTGGGATCTCACTGTGTGGGCCCGGCTAACTTTTTTGTTTTTATTGTTTTGGCAGACACGGGGTCTTGCGGTGTGGTCCGGGCCGGTCCCGAACTCCCGGACCTGAACGATCTCCCCGCCTCGGCCTCCCAAAGTGCGGGGAGCACAGGCGTGCACCACCACGCCCGGCTCCGCTCAGGATCACGTCACCGAATGACTCTGTTGGGTGATTTCCACACAATCCCACAAGGCTGTGCGACGTGTAAGGAATGACATACAACATGCAAATCACACGTCACACATGCTATCACGGGTAATAGCCAATCTTCTTGCACGTTATTTACATACTAATCATTTTTTTTCTTTTTTTTCCTTTTTTTTTATTTTAAAGACGATTCAGGGTCAGGTAGGCACATGTTCCCCCGCTGATAGGCACCTTACTATATCATGCATGTAGTGTGATATAACATATTGCCTGTAACATGTGGCGACCGGTAAAGCGGTCATACGTGGTGCAGATACCTGTCACATGTGCTCAAATACATGGATGCCATCCACGCAGCATGTGGGTTGGGCATTGAACACACGCATGCACGACACGTCACATATGCATATGTCATGCATATAATGACAGGTTTTATAGCATGTTATATTATATCCTATTTGCCACTATGATATATGACATGTTATTACTCATGCCATGTATGACATATTTGACATATTTTAATATATCCCATATTCACTGTGATACGATACATCATGTTTAGAACATGCTGCCATATGTAACGCACTCATACATGTTATACAGAGGAGTCGCGTGTGCTAAAATACATGTAAGCAACCCATGCCACGTATCTCTTGTGCATATGACAATGCCGGCAGCATACATGCTATATGCACATATACTATGCGTGTAATTATAGGTCACATATGTGCGTGTGATTATATAGGGCACATAATAAAACCATACAGGTCAGGCATTACCGTACATATTCTTATATCCTGTATGATAACACATGATCTATTGGATGTGACAATGTCATACCTAACAGATCATGATGCATGCTGCTATAATACTAGATATATTATTATATAATATTATTAATTATATATTATATTATATTATTTTATATTATATTATTTTATACTATATTATATTATATATTATATATTATATGTTATATATTATATATTATATATTATTATAATATTATTAATTCATATATTATATTATATTATTATAATACTATACTATATTATGTATTATATACTATTATATATTATATATTATAATATATCATATATTATATAATTATTATATTATATTATTATATATTATATATTATATATAATACTATAATACTATATATTATGACTCATGCACTATATGACATATGCGACATTTTCATACGTCATATATTTAGTGTCATACAATACATAGTTTATAGCATGTTGCCATACGCAACGTACTCGTGCATGTTATATGTAGGTGTCACATGTGCTGAAATGCACAGCCGCAACCCCTGCGATGCATATCTTGTGCATGGAGCAATGCATGCCGCATACATAATACATGCACATCTCCTATGCATATAACTATAAATATTACGTGCACGCATGCAGTATAATGACATAAGTCAGACATCCCCCTACATCTTGCTATATCATGTATGTACATAACATGC